CCCCCCGTCGTCCTGGAAATACCCTATTTAGCATCTTGACGTTTGGCTTCGGCTATTAATTCATTTGTAACCAGCAAATAATCTTCCCAATTAAATTTATTTGCTGAATCTCGGTGAAAAATATCGAGGGTCTCTATGATATGTATCTTTTTAGAAAAAGCCTTTGCAGAAATTTAAAATTCAAATATCTGATTTAAGTCAGCTTCATAATAGCTACTTATAAGTAGCTATGAAACGGTTTCTGCTTTTAAAATGAGTGCTTTTGGGATTGACGTCAGTGGTACGGGCTTTTAACAGAAGCGATTATTTTTTATCCATTAGGATTCCCAAAGTTGCCCCCCTCAGATGTTTCAGTCTGGGCTAAATTATTAATTTTAGTATATACTGTAGACTTTACTATTTATTTGTGACTTACTTATGAGATATTTAAAAGCGTTTACAATTCTGCATATCTCAGCATCACTAATGAATTTGTACCGGTCAGTTTCGCATTACAGTAGGTCGTTACTTAATGTCTGATAAAGAATAAATAATTAGCCTTGGATACTAAATTAAGCATAATGGAGATTAGAACCTTTATTACGCTGAAATTAATGATTTAGCCGAGAATAAAACGTTTCAGTCCATTAAGCTTTGCAAGTTTTAGCTCTGTACCACAGTTGGACCTCGTCAGTACGACGGTTGCTGTGTTAACTGATATCCTATACAACGAATATAAAAAGTTAAAGATAATGACTAATTTCGAAATGTAGCAATATGCGTTTTTGCACTCGTATAATGTGAAAAAAAAAATCCTTAGAGAAGAATATATTGTATACCTTCCAATCGACCACCAGAAGTTAAGTCCGGCAAGCAGTCTTGTTTAGCGGATATGCTGCCATCCAGGCTACTGCCGAACACCTTTCGGGCTTGCTCGAAGAGGGTTTTGTCTTTTATAGTAAGTGACCGGTACTAGCAAGTTTCACTAAAACTCGTTAATTTGAAAGCAAACTGATACTAATTTAATGTAGCACAGTGAATGATCGTAACCGTCACCTACAAGCCTTTGAATACCCCTACATACCGTACTCATAGGTTGCCAGGTACCGATAGATGCTGAAGGAAAAGCGCTGCCTCTTCAGACTTTTTCTTCTGTCAGGGAGTTGAAGGAAGAGTCGCTGGATCTGCCTGTTGAACTGCTCGATAGTCTGTGGTCCTCCTCACAAAACAAATTAGGTCGGGATTGAAACTGCTTCAGTAACTTTTCCACTGCAGAAATTCTGCGATTTCAGCTATCAGCGGCCGGATTAGCGGGCGCCGCGAATCCAGCAGCATTCCTGTCGCAGCATGCCTTGCAGCCGTTTTCAGCTCTGTCGCTTCAGCAACCGAATGCCGTCCAAGCGATCTCCACATTATCTCAGCCGTATACACCTGCTGATTATGCTGCTGCTGCAGCCGCTGCAAGCGTTTCGCAGTATGCTCGTAAGTTTATTTTTTGATAAATGAATGCAGAGATGTGAACTAAATAGGAGAAACAAGGGCGCAGGGAGAAGAGGAGAATGAACTGAAAATGGTGAACTGAAGTGTTCTGTCCATTAAGTGGTGAAGGCCTTAATTCAGCGTCGCAATTGAACGTCATCAGTACAGTGGTTACGATACTAATTTAGAGGTACAGGGAAAGATCAGTTAGCTAGAAACAAAGTGATTATAATAAACCCAGGCTGGAACGCACCCGTGCGGTCATGCGTTTTTGCACCGGACTTGAAGTACTCAGGTCATTAGCTTCTTGAGCACAAAGTCTGCTGGCCTAGCGACAACACATCGTGCCCGGATGTGAAGGAAGTGGTTCGACCCTTTCGCGAACCATGATTATTTTTAAAAGAGAAAATAATCATGGATCGCCGCAAAAGGGTCGAACAATGCACGTCATCGATGACTTCTCAATTCTGCTGCGTTTCTGGACTTATCTCATTAGCATAACTCCGTACATATGTTCAAATATATCATTCTAAAATAATAACGAGAAGAATGTTTTAGCGTCATCCAGTGCAGCTGCTGGTGTAGCTGTGGATCCAACAACGTATACACTGCCAACCACTGCGACACTGCCTACTGCTGTGACCCTACCAAGCACCGTCACATTGCCTTCTGCTTACAGTTCGTTGGTCAGTCTTGAGCAGCAAACCAGTAAGTATCGCCAATGTTTGCTTATGAGAAAAAAAACGTGATCGCGTTTCAAGTATGTAGTAATGGTTTAAAAACAGGACAATCATAGTTATGCGCTCACAGGTTGGGCCAGCTAAGCCACATCCTTCGATCTTGGACTGTACGCCTTCAGTTAGTACCTACAGCCTGTTCGATGTGCAGTTTATTATTATGTTTGGCTACTACGGAATAAGAAAAACAAATAAAAATTGAAAAAGTTTTTCAAATATAGTAAATGAGAAATCAGACTATGTTTCTAGTAATCAAGGGCCCTTCTTGAGGCGATTTTCCCTCCACGAAGAATGTCTTTATTTTCACACCTGCCACCGGGGTAAATCTCTTTCCAGTAATTCCTTTTTCACTGATAATTC